TTAGTTCAGGTCACTAATCAGTAATATACCGGTACATTTTAGGTAATTCATTACTCATTAAATGCTCGAATTTTGCACTAAATACAAAAACATATTGATTAAGTAATATGATATTTGATTAAAAAAATACTGAAGTGGATTGGGAATAAAAATATGTCCCGGAACATTTTGTTTTCGCACTTAAACAAGGGCATTGATAAAAATTAGCACTCACCTATAAAAATAAATTCCAATATTCTTATTTGCTCAGTTTCTTATAAATATGGAAAGCTTTAAGATAATTTTTTCAACATTTTATTAAACGATCATTTTAAATCAACATTTAATTTTTAAGAAATCTTATACAGTATTTAGTTTACATAGATTTATGTGGTGAATAATATTCACAGCCTAGTTATCTAAATCATTATAAACTTAATTTCATTAATATTTATTATTAATAAATTAATGTTGAGATAATTTTTATATTTAATGGTTTGCAATAACAATATTTGTTGATCTGCTATATTTGTAATAGTTGTGACTAATGCTTATAAAGGTACAAATAACTAGTGTTGAAACAAATGTGTTGTTTAACCCTAAAAATGTTTTTAATATATACATCACTAGTTGAAACAATTTAAAACCCTTGGAATTCAATGTTAATAATTATAATTAATAATTGGTGGCTTTTATGCTGAAGCAGGACATTTATTTTGCACTAAAAACTGTATACATAATCCAATCACTACTTTCAATAATACAACATAATGTTTCTTATTTATTAAGAGTATTGATTAGGTTATGTATACAGTTTGCAGTGCAAAAAATGTCTTGCTTTTGCATGTTGTGCACCAATTCTTTTGTTCTCATGATAAGTAAGACAGGGGTATTGTTTACCTACGTATAACCTACCCTTACGAAATAAAACTACATTGATAATTTTAAGTGTTTCAAGGATTCATTCAAACAAATAGTATAAAAGAATAAACACTTATATCAGTCAATAGCAACAAAAATATATTATATTCATAGGTCTATCGTACGGACTCAACACGAATGTGCAATTTTTTTATTCACCCTGGTATAGGCCACCCAATCTATCTGGTGATAATCAGTGGGTCCACTGTAGTACCAGGGTAGGGTTTAAACCGACCATAAACTACTTTACCTTTTTTGAGTCAGCAATGATCAGGCAAGCACTTATAGAGGATTATTATTAGTCATCTAATAAGAGAAATGAACAAGATAACATTTGAGAATGGGAATTTCATAAACAGTCTTCTTATAATACAAATACTTGACTATGACTTATAGGTTATTATGAATGAATCATTATTGTTACATAACTTTTGACAGATATTAGTAAATAAATTAAAAACAATCAGAATTGAAATTTAAAAAAGGAGCTTGATTAATCTGAAGAAAATTTTGTCATTAATTTGAATATTTATCATAATTGTCAGATTTTATCTTTCTCAATTTATAATTAAATCGACTTGAATTGAATTTTACCTGTATTTATTTATAAACAACAATTATAAAAGTGCAAATTATTTGTTAAAATAAAAATAAGTAAAAATTATCTAAAATAAACGGGACTGTAAATAATATAATAGAAAATATAGTATATTTAATAAATTCTGATAAATTGATTTGAAATTTATTATAAAAGTGCAAATTATTTGTTAAAATAAAAATAAGTAAAAATTATCTAAAATAAACGGGACTGTAAATAATATAATAGAAAATATAGTATATTTAATAAATTCTGATAAATTGATTTGAAATTGATTAGTTATAAGTATTAAAACTTGAAATAACTAGATTTTTAGCAATTAGTTATTCTATACCTCTATAATTATAATCAAATACAAATAGAATATTTTATTTATCAAGTTTTTATAACTTTAAATGTCAAATTCATAAAAAAAAGACTTCTGAGCATAGTGAACTTAACCACTTGACATTTAATTAAGATAATTTTATATTTAATACTTAATATTGCTGATAAACAATAATATTAAGATTAAGAATACAGAATTAAATAAGGTATATAAAGGTAAATTAAACTAATTTGTTAAGACAAATATATTACAAAATATTATTAAGTTACTATATTTATAATTTTCAAAATATAACAAATATATTATTTAAGAAAATATGTATTTACGTAAGCAAATTTTGGTGTTTAAATTTATTTTAAAATTTTATTTTTATTTATTTTTCTAATTTTATAGGGTTTTTCTTATTAATAATTTTGGTTCAATGCACAATAAATGTCAATGGTGAGTGTATTGATCCAAGTACTATATTACCATGTACAGGCTGTCAATATAATTACATTAATTGCTCTGGGACTTGGGATATTGATTTGCAAAAGATATTTGTTACTTTAAGTAAAACCCTGGAACCAAAACAAAAACATTTCAAAAGATTTTATTTCAACAACTCATTTATGACCGAGATCAAAAGCGACACGTTTCAAGATATAATATTTGATGAGATTCATATTAACGATACAAAATTGCAACGTATTCATCCGGATGCTTTTATGGCTACTTATAACTTCACCAAATATATTAAAATCTTTCATAATAACTTTCTTGATACAAGTCAATTTTCCGTATTAAATAAATTCACAAACGTTATTGATATTTATGATGTTAACGACAAATTTCTTCAAATACAGTCTGGTTTATTTACTAATAATCAAAGTCATTTGATATCACTTAGTTTTAATAATGCTGGTATAAAAACAATTGGTAGCTACCCTTTTCGACATATGTCAGCTATTACAAAATTTGATTTTTCCTGGAATTATATTAATACTATATCGGAATACGCGTTTGCAATTGATGAATCTTCAAACCAGACTTTAATAATTGATTTAACTCACAATATTCAACTAAACTCATCAAGCTTTGAACCCAAAGCGTTTAATGATATTAATCGACCGACATTGTTGATTTTAACAAATAATCCTATAGATTTCTTATTGGAAAAGGTGTTTTTACCATTTATTAAATCAAATAAACAAAACATTATTGAAATGGAATATAACAGGGAGTTTGATTGCCAAGATTGTCGCTCGTATTGGTTGAAACAAAACTCAATGTTTGATCGAATCAAGTATTTAAAGTGTAAGGATGGCAAAGAATTGACCGACCCTGGTAATTTCGCTAATTGTATTGACAATGCAAACTATATAAAACAATAAAGTAACAATAACAATTTGTTTGACTAAATTATAAATAAAATAACTTTAAATTAAAAAGTCGTTTATAATATATTTTTTAATTACGTTTAAGTTTGAAAAATTACAAGTTTAATTTAATTCATCATATGAAATTATTATATAACACTATATAGAGATGAAATGAAAATATAATTGTATGTATACTTTAAAAATAAAACATTAAATCAAAAGATTAGAGAATTAAATATGTACATAATAATAATTATGAGTTATAAACCGGTATACCAAAGAAATAAATTATAAAAAAATTAAAAAGTTTATTAAAAGTTTGTTATAAAAGATTAAATGAAATATTTACAATTAAAAATATTTATTAATTCACTTGCTATATTTAGAAGTTTTATATTAATTATATTACATAGAGAGATTTATAAAGGATTTAAGTATTTATAGATAATATTGTAAATAATGTTATAGTAAAGAATATAAATCTTAGATAATTTATTATTTTTTAATGATAACAGTAAATGTCACTATGATATATGAACGTAATTGCTGTTTATTACAGTTTAATTTGTATTGAAAATAAAAATGATTTACTTACAATTAAACTTAATTAAATCATTATTTATAGTAATTTTTAATTTGGTTAATTATTTAACAAGTTATTTAACAATTATAACTTGTTAAATTTACAAAATTGCAATTAATATAATCATAATAAAATTATAATAACTCTGTTTTACTAATGAATAATAAGTTTGTTATTGAATATAATTCATGCAATAAATAACAGGTTTAGGTGCAATATAATTTAAGTTACTTTTAAAAGTAAGTTTAAATCAAAATCTAATGAAATGTTTATTATGAATATTATATTGAATATAAATACCTATTAAACTTCACACATGAATTAACTCGCACTTAAATAAAAGTATATAATTATTTTGCGTACTTAAAACAACCTTAACTTAATAATAAAAGTTATTTTACAGCTATTGCTATATCAATAAAAAAAATCATTTCAATAACATAAAAATATTGTATAGTTGATTTACTAAATCAATTAAAATTTCTTAAATGTTAATTTGCTTGTTTAGTGTATATTTAAAATAAAAATATATAAACACAATTTACAATGTAATTTTAAAAATCTATATTTAGCACTAAACATGAGTGCAATAATAACAAAGTATATAATTTTGTTTGCCTTAATATGCACTGAATTATGAGTGCATTTAATGCTATCAACAAATTCATGAAAAATTATAGTCAGTATAAACACTAACAATTTGTAACATATAATTAATTTAGGTTCAAATTAACAAATATGATTTCAGTAAAATATGAAATATTTGAAAATTTTGCACTAAAGTCTGTTTAGTAATAATATAATGCAATAATAATAATAATAATTATTTTTAAAATAATTATTCAATTAAAACTACAGTATAAAATAGTATTATAATATTTATTTTTAAATAATATTTTTGTGAATTAACTGCTTGATTGATATTTGATTAGAAATTAATTATCTAAACAAGTACAAAAATATCTTACATAAAGTATTTTTACAACAAACGGCTTACCGCGATTAATTAAATAGTTTATATACAGTATATAAGTAATAATGTACTAAACAATATAGATATATGTACTATGTTTAAGATTTAAAAATTTATTTTGTGTTACCGTAACACAATTGCTGCACTTATAATCTAATCTTACATATTGTGAACATGCTCAGATGTTCATATATATAACCTTGATGAACATAATATATAAAAAGAAAAGTACTCTTTATATTTAAGTAGATTCATTATACAAAGATGACGTGGATACTATTGCCAGTAATTATCCAGGTGTTTGTCACATGTGTCCGGGCGAGTGACAAAGTGTTTTGGTATGAAAGTGGGGCCATAGACGGCAGGTATGAAGCCTCGCCTATCGGTAATGGACGGATAGGTGGATTTGTTTATGGACACCCGGGTTAGTCATAAAAACGATATTTTTTAATTTTCTATAAAATTAATTATAGAATTAGTTAAAAACAAGAGTATGTAATGATTATTTATAAGGAACTCCGAATTTAACAATCTCAAACACAATTGGTTTAGGGTTAGTTTGAAAATTTAATTTATGGTTGTCAAGACATACTGTATATCAGAGGCGCACAGATATGACCGTTTGCGGTCAACTAGAGATGTATGCATTTAATAGTTTAATACAATATTTACAACACTAGTATTTTATGAATCAAGAATTAGTCATTAGAATTAATAATAATTTTTAAAATTGATATTAATTTTCATTACTTAAAGCAAAGTATAACTTATGTGTTGTGGATTAAATTATGTGTCAATGCTTTATTATTCAGTTTTTCTAAACAAATGGATAAATCATTGAAAGTTTACTTATTCACTCAAATATTTGTTGTATTGATAGGTTTAAAATATCTTAAATTAGTGTATTAATCTTATGAATATTATATTTTGTTTACTAAATTTTCATATTATTATTCAAAATGAAAATTATGTTTTCACAACAAATCATTGTCACTTTTAAATATTAGTGTTTGGAATAGTTAATAAGTTTATTAATATTATAAAACACTAATTTAGAGATTTTAAAAATTTTGGACGTCTATGCTGTATATTGTATTGCCCATAATTTTGGTTATGGTATCACACAACTTGTTATGATTTAAAATTGTTGAGTTTAATATTAATTATATTTTTTTAATGTGAATAATTATATACAAAGATTGTGATACACTGAATAAAATTACGGGCTATACAATCTATATAAGCTCAAACAAGTTTTTAGCATTTAAAAAATTTATGTATTTATATATAAGAAAATCATTTTAAAAATTATTTTTCTAAATATCCCGGGTACTCATGTGTTGCATAAATATTTATAGAGAAAGAGAGAGTAAATATCAACGAAATAACTTTATGGACGGGCGATGACAACCCTTCCCACGATTACGGCGGACCCGGTTTTGGCGATTATCAGACGTTGGGTAATATTGTCGTCGATTTACCCGATCATAAAAACAACAATAACTACAGACGAGCCCTGGATATCGGGGACGCCGTGTCAAGCGTCCAATACGAAGCGCATGGCGTTCAATACAAACGCGAATACTTTGTGAGTCATGTGTCGCAGGTATTAGTCGGCCGGTTGACCGCCAACAAGGGACAGGCATACACCGGACACATTGAACTACAGGACTCGCATAAAGTGGCCGTCCATGCGGAGGGCAACACGATCTCAGCGAACGGCAAACTCGAGAATGGGCTACGATTTGGATGGAAAGTGTTGGTCCAAAACACCGGCGGAAGTCTCAAAGTGAACGGCGCCGTCATAGAGTTCAACGGTTGCGACGCCTTGACTCTCATCGTTAGCGCCGGTACTGACTATGTGTTCGACGACTCGAAGAAGTATAAGTCCGGCGAAGACCCGGCTGTTCACGTGAACGATTGGGTCGCCAAAGCATCCCAAAAGTCGTACGATAGCCTTAAGGCGGAACACATGTCGGACTTCCACGGTTTGTTCAATAGAGTGGACCTGGATTTGGGTCAGTCGTCGGCACAACAGACGGCGTTACCGACCGTTAGACGGAAGGTCGCGGCCGTCAATACATTTGATCCAGATTTCGAAGAAATGTTTTTCCAGTTCGGACGGTATCTCATGATATCGGCGTCGCGAGACAGTCTCCCGACGAACTTACAGGTCAGCCTAAAAATGTTTCCGATCATTCAATTATGTTAACTATAGTATTATATAATGTATATACTGTATAACTATATCTGTGTTTTGAAAATAATGCACACTATTGGATTAATTGTGAGTCGAAAGTTTTTATATTGCTTACTTTTAAATTAACGAAGTTTATTAAAAAGCTTCCGACTAAAAATTTAACCAAAATTGGGGGTTTATTTTCTCGGTATAAATGTTCCCTGATTATGTTTATTGACTAGCCTAGATACCTATTAAGAATATAGTTCATTGTCTATGCTTGCCTTGATGTAAAACATAATGTACATATACTTAAATTATCTTTAATATTGTATCAACAATTTTAAAAATATTTTCTGTTTTATATTAATTAAATATTTTCATATTTATATAATCAGGGTATGTGGAACGACATCAATAACCCGGACTGGCATGCTGACTACCACGGAAACATTAATTTAGAAATGAACTATTGGCCTGCGGAAACAACTAACCTTGGTGAATGCCATTTGCCTCTATTCAATTTTATTCGTAGTCAATTGAATCCTTGGCGCAAACAAACGCGTGAATCCGATAAATTACTGACACCGGACGGCAAACACTCATCCAAAGGGGTGGCCTGTATCGGACAGCACAATATTTACGGAGGAATGGGTTACTTCAATATGGATGGTAACGTGGATTGGGATAAGACGATCACCGCTTGGTATGTATAGCAACAAACAATGTGCATCTTAAATACAGAGTGATCAAAAAATGTCATTTTTTGACGACTCTATAATATGTTACGGGCTGTTTTGAGCTACTTTATAGTTTTTAAATTTTACAAATTAAAATGTTCTCTCCTACTCTTCTACTGACCTCTGAAATTTGAAAACTGTTAGTAGGCCACACGCTCGATAGGTCATACCGTCGAGTCCATAAATTTGCAACAAGGTCTATACCAAGAATGATTTTTTATTTCGAGCACAGGTATGCGCAGCACTTTTGGGAGCATTACGCGTTCGGAATGGATAAGACATACCTAAAGGACGTGGCGTATCCTTACATGAAAGAGGTGGCCGAGTTCTGGGACGAACACCTGAAGACTGTTACAAAAGGCACTAAAGAGCAGTTGGGAAAACTGGTTGTCCCTAAAGGTTGGTCACCAGAACACGGACACGAAGAGGATGGCTGTAGCTATAGTCAAGAGATTGTATGGGATTTGTATACAAATTACGTGAAAGCCGCGGACGCTTTGGGAGTCGACAAAGAGTTCAGGGATCGCATTGCCGGTCAGAGGGATAAGCTGTTATGGCCAGGGATTGGATCGTTCGGACAAGTGATGGAATGGATGGAAGAACAACCCGGAGAGAAGGATGACCATCACAGACATACTTCCCATTTGTTTGGCGTATTTCCAGGACATCAATTCAATTGGGAGACAACGGCCAACTTGACCAAAGCGTCCCTGGTATTCAACCTGTTATTAACAATATATGAATTCTTCTAAGTCTACCATACCTATAGGTTGAGTTCACGGCATTACCCTTATGTTAAGTTATATTTTGATAGGTTTTAGTGAATTGTGCCCTTAAATCCGGGGCACACAAAAAGTGACAAAGCTTTGAACATTTTAACAAGGCAATATTAAGATTAATGTTATAACTTGTAATTATAAAGTTTGGTCACACGAATGTTGCCCGGATTAGCCTATTTATAATCCTAAGTATATCTGATATGATTTAACGAGATGAGTCTTTCAAATGACTGTAATTGTGTTATACAGTACTCCACTGTTATATTTAAAGAAGTGTTGAAAGACTCATTTGGTTATAGCATAGCAGATATGCCGTCAAGTGATCTTGAGCCTATTTTTATACTCACTTCATTGTATTTTTATACAACACTATATTCACTGTTTATTTTCCGATAATCACAACAAATAGGTGTCACTTAATGCCAGAGGTATAGACCCATCCAGTGATGTGACGGAGTGGGCGTTCGCGTGGCGCTCAGCCCTATACGCCCGGCTCAGGGATGCCGACCAGGCCCACCACTTACTTCGCGAGCTGTTGGCCGATCGTAATACCTGTGCCAATATGTTTGCAAAGCTCCCTGCGATGCAAGTCGACGGTAACTTCGGTATTACCGGAGCCATCCCAGAATTCCTTGTCCAGAGTCACGCGGATGTCATTGATTTGTTGCCGGCTCTGCCCGGGGACTGGAAGGTCGGACACGCGAAGGGTCTGCGGGCCAGAGGGGGACACGAGTTGGAAATCTATTGGGATAATCATACGTTGAATAATGTTTTAATTAAGAGTGTGGTCGCCGGCGATGTGAAGGTTAAGTTTGGAGATACTGTCAAAACAATTAAAGTAGATCCGAGTAAAGCGACTCATTTGGACCACAATCTGAATCCAATTCCTTAATGTTTAAAGAAAATCCTATTTAATCTTGAAATAAAAATTTCGTTATAAATTTGTATATTATATTAATAGTAGTAAAATTTGTTTATTTTATTAATTCATTATGTTACAATAATTTATTAGTTTACTGTGATTATTGAGGGACAATATTAGCTAATAATTATGACGTTAAATTTTTTACCTTACGCTAAATACAAGTAACGGTGAAGGTCTTGTATAGCAGATTAACCCGTATATTATAGAAGTAGGGGTCCTACCAGCACGGCAAATGTGAACAGGGCCATCCCATTATATAATCACGTTCCCTATTTAGGCATATGCAATTATGTTATACTATAATAATGTTATAATATAATTTAAAATAATTCATAATGCAATTATGGCATAAGCAAAATTATTAATTATAAAAATTATAGCTTAACATTTTAAATAATAATTATGTTTCTCTTGCTGAACATTTATAATTTACTTTTTTATATAAATATTTTTATGATTATGGTTATGGAGATTATTTACAGTTTTAATTTTATCATTTAAACTAAATGTTATTTTACACATTTCACATCTCTAGGTGACTAAACAAGGTGTAGTAATTTGAGATCATATTAGTTGTTGCTATTTAATTGCTATAAATAGTCCAACATTAATTTCAAAATTATGTTTTGTATAAAAATTTTATTATCAGAAATGTCAGTTTATTAATAACTAAAAGCTTATAAATGTTTATCAAGAATATTTATTATGAAAATTATCAACAAGTCAAATTATTTGAGATTTTAATACATTAATTCTTTTTTGATATGAAGTTTAACCTTTGATATATCAAAACGTATAACAATAAATATATACTGTATTTAAATAAATAAATTTTTCTTAAAAAATAAATAAATTTATATTTTAAAAACAATACTTTACGATAAGTATAAACATTTACTCATTTATACTTGTTCATTATTTATTTCAAATAGAATTTTTCATATCACAATTTATTTTAAAATTATGACATTTAAAATAATAAATTATTTGAAGTATTGAAAAGTAAAATTTTTAATTTATTACTTTAACATCTGTCGAACGATAATGACTGCAATATTTTTCTAAACATATTAAACAAGGTCGCATAAATAATTAGATATAATTGTTTACATAGAATATTCTTAATGAGTAGATGTATGAACATTTAATTTCATCGTATTTTAGTATGCAGTATTTACATAATATATTACAATTTATAGTGTTTTATATGAAAAAATGATTGACAAATGAGTTTATAATATACAAAAAGATCAATCGATGAATAAAAATGAAGGACTATTGATAAATAATTTTACATTGAAAGCAGAGTTTATTCATTCAAACTAATAAAAGTTTTCAAACTTAGTGTTTAGCTTACATTCATAGTCCTTCATTTTTATTCATCGATTGATCTTTTTGTATATTATAAACTCAAATATGGTATTGAAAAAAATACAGACAGTCACACAAATCATTAGTGTAACATTATGTTACATTATGTTTCATTAATGATTTATTTATTAATGGTTTATTGACTAGAGAACAAATAAAATATCATTTTATAACAGACTGGCTTAGACTTTTGAAATGCCAATTGAATTAAAACAAACACAATTACTGTATGCTATTGTGAACCATCACTGCCATATCACATAACCTTGTATTTTGCCAGATTTTATGGACAATAAAGGTAAGTGAAAAAGGGTCATATTTTCTTAGCCACACCGTAACAATAACTAAATTTACAAAATTAGTTCATTAAATAAAATTATCTAATATACTAGTATCTTTACATTGTATAATATTAATATTTAATATGAGTATAATTAAATGTTATATTTATAAATAATAATGAAATATAATAATTATGACCTGTATTCAATATAGTTATTTGTCATAAATAATAAAATATGTATTAAATATTTAAGTTTTTTGTATTAACAGTTAATTCATTTACAGTAATTGTTAAGTTAGTACCCAAAAAACTTTTATCTTTAATATAAGTTTTATTATTTATGACAAAACTATATTGAATACAGATTATAATTACTATATTTCATTATTATTTATAACATACTCTTGCAACAAAATGACAATGTATTAAATACAGTATTAATATAATTTATATATCATATCTCACAGATCATAAGACATAAAAGTAATAATTAAATCTTAAATTTTATATGAGAGTTTATTAATTGTATATTAATTTTAATTATTTTTTAAGCATATACATTATAGGAAATTAAGATAAAATAATTACTATGAAATTCTTATCATTAATAATTTAGTGTTGACCTATAAATATGCGATATTATTAGGTAGCATACCATATTATTAATTAAAGTTTTAATAATTTAGTATAAAGTACACTATAATTTTATAAATTGTATTATTTTCATATCATGTTAGATACAATATAGAGTACTTTGTTAATAATGATATTGTTGAATAAACAGTATTGTTATATGATATAATATTTTTATAATTTATGTTTTTGTTAATTTATGTTATTATAATTATGCTTAAATATGTTAAAATGTTCATATGAATTATTTTATGCTACAAAGTGATCTACGTTAAATTACTACATCAACCATCATTTGTTGTGTTTGTATTAAAATAATTTTTTGAACTTTTGAAAAGGCTAAAATCAATATATTTAACAAATTAACAATTTGAAATAGTTCACCTATAAATCGCTAAAACTAATCGTGTTCATAAAGCTTATTCAGTGTGTTTTATTTATAAAAGTTCATTGGGATCAGTTTATGAGAGTGATTACTGAGTCAATGATATGCATTTGGCAAACATTAAACGTGATAATAAAACACGCATTTAAATCACACGTGAAATCCTATACAAAACTATTGGTGAAAGTGTTGTGTCTTTCAGTGCTATTCTACGGAGGAATAGAAGTGACAAAAGAGTACTTCAGTTATCCATATGTTTATCGACTGAGTGTTAAACCCTCTGAAGGCTTACATTTACCGCCGATTAGTATTTGTACGGAAAGGGATGTGTTTTTTGATAAAACTAA